GCCGAGAATAATATAAAAACACTTAATATTGCTCAAAACCTCCCAGGTTTCACGCTGGGGTATCAATTGGACAAGTCTATGATTACACCAATCTAGATCGCTGCTCTCACGGTTCTTGTGTTTCTTCGGGCTCAACTCATTCATTCAGATCGAAGGGGCCTTTTAAACTTATATTTCACCTATTATTCTCTACACATTCAAGAGTGAGTATGTTCCTCCGTCACTGGTGAACAGCAAGCTAAAAACCCCCGATTTCTTTATACTAGATATATAGTCACTTCCTCTCCCGGCACAGAGCTCCAAAGATAAGGATGTTAGCAAAGTACAGCGACAGGTAATAAATGCTGGTGAGGCACGGTCATACCTGTTTTGGGCAAAACAGTGCACCACCAACATATAGTGTTTGCAGATAAGACTGTGTCGCAAGGCGTTCCACCACCTACTACCTCTCGCTGTAAAGCTGCAAATCTTGAGAAGGCTCTTCACCAGATACCATAGTCGAAGATTTCTAGAACAGGATCCAGACTATTTCGGAATTTCAATTCTCAATTCAGGTATGAGAGGTTTCTGATGGAGCGCGATCAGCACTGGAAGAGAAGACTTCCTGGTGGAGGAGAATAAACAATTTATCTATATCACGTTCGAAAAATTCCCCTCCACCTCCCCCAAACTCCAACACCCTACACATGTATTCCTCACTGCTCGTTACAATAGTAATCACCAAGTAGCTCTAGCTGCAGAGGAGGGGCCTATCGCTTATAGGGACTGGATTGGAATAAAAATTGGTTGAGCCCAAATCTTAGAACGCCCTAATGCCGGCTTCTGGGTCTCATTCTTTTCAAATGTAAACAGGTACCCCTTTGGTATTTGCGCTCTATGATGCAGATAAGTACATACTGACGTGAGAAAATAGATTTTCCGAATGACAAAGTAATCCAATCTTACTCAGGGCGGGTGCGAAGAACCTGAAAATGTCTTTTGGTGGTAACGACGTCCGAATTGCGGCTAGCGAAAAGATACATCAAATTAAGCCCTGCCCATAGCTTGCACTTTCAGGTGCTTATTGCCCACCCCGAATGGGAATGTCGGAGCCCATCCAGGAGCCAGTGCGAATATAACAATAGAAACCTTTCCTCTTACTTACCAACCGCCGCTGCCATCCAGTCTCCGAGAAACCTACTACCTCATGTATCCATGGACTAGAGAAGTCAAAAATCTCTGCAGCCTCACACAACATTCGAGAAGGGGATTCCGGCTCTCCCGTCCCCGACTTCTTATACAGTCGCCGCCTGGGACATCAACGGTTCCCGTTGAAAGGAGAAAAGTCAAAGAAATAAGCAGCGCTCCGGGTTTACCATGGAAACAACGTGCTCTTAATCAAATATATCAAGACGTTCACCTGGTGAACCCAGGCCTATTCCGGATCTAGGCACGAAACAATTGCATCTAAGTTGACAATATTTCTCGCAAAGCAGAGGTAAGGAGGAGCTATGAATTTACTTACTCGTTTCCAATTTGACTAATTGAGCCCCAAGATGATAAAGTGTGTTCCTTATTCTTTAATCAAGAATGACAAAGATAAAGATATGCGTGGCTAGGCAAATGGTTTTTTTTCCCCCGCTCCTATCACAAGCACAGAACTGTATGATCTGGGGGAGCTAAAAAAAACTTGTGTAGAAGTAGTACATAAACAGCACGGCAAAGTATTATCCCCCGCCCAGACTACAGGAGAAAACGCACTTTTCCTGTTTCCAATTTCAAAGAGAACTGGACATACATCCAACCTCTCGACATTAAAGCCCGAATTCTACATGTAGTAGTAGGTAAGTTTGAAATACCTAATTTAAAAAAGCCCTGTACTATATCAGTCAAGCACCTTTCTAATAGTTCTACATTGGTACAGATCCGCCTCTCGAATTGTACCTATGTGACACCTTTTGGTGTTTTCCCCAAGGTCTCCTCCCAAGGCAAGAACTCTAAATCCAGTTTGGAGTTTTCCGTAACATGGATTGCCTCTAGTGAAAGCTTTTATAACGATTTCTCTCACTAGGTATAGGAGGTCTCTACCATGATATATTATGACACCATTGCCGTTTTTCAGCAGGAATGAAGCATTGGTCAGTGACTGCGGTACCTTGCTTGGGATGAACAACGACACATTGCTACATTGGGAACTCTATTCCATTTATCGGCCCAAACCCGGGGGAGGCACAACTCTATCCCTCTACTTTTGAACTATCTAAATAACAACCCCGAAATCAAGAATTGGCATAGACCCCCGCGCTGAGTGACTAAAATGAATCTCAGCAGCCTTTACCGGTCTTTTGGGCTATGGTGACTGGCCTTGAACTTTAAATGTAACTACGATTCCTATCACATCTCCCTGGACGTACATCACAGCATAAAAGCCTAGGCATCGGCATTGATTTCTACCTGAGCTGATAAGCTGACTGGTAGTCCCGTCTCGAAATAACAGGCTCGAACCCACAAGACGGAACCTTCGGTGAAGATGTAGTCATCTTTCACAGGGCCGGACTCCCATGGAGCGACACAGGCGAAGTACCCCAATGAGATGCGATGAGATGTCTAACCTGCGCTCTTGCGTCTAGGACATACTAATCACCATTTAATATACAGTTACCAAGCCATCAATGGCCCGCGGCCGCTCCTCTCCAAACATTCTTCAAACTACGAATATATATCGGGATCTAAGAATTGTGGCTGTATTTATGGACACTTCCATAAGCCTAGACTTCCTATGAGACGGGATATCCAAAGCACCCCTATGAGATACGATAAGGCAAGCCTATACTCTACTCTTAACACTAATTATTGTACATATATAGTTACCCAATGGCATCACTATCCCGCTCCTCCCAAAACATCTTCCCATCTACAAATAGCTACATGTCGGAGGTCTCTACTAGACTATCCTGACCAATTATTGGTAGCTTACTACAATGCAATTCTGGAAGGTAAAGCACGACTGAGAGCGCCCTCCCCATCATAAATACTTTTGAATACTCTTACATACTAACAACTAACACACCTAGTCGATTTCATTCTAAGGCTATATGAGAACACTTCTGAAGTGCCTCCCTCCTTCATTCCACTTGAACAAAACTAGTGTTCCGACCTCCCAAGTCCTCCGTTTTTTGACTTTTCAACACTTTATTATTTGGCTTCCGCGACTCACCAGGAGGTTGAAAACCCAATCAATTAGTTTTGAAGTGTTCACTCTATACCTTAACTACTCTATTTTAATTTTCTAGATCTTTTATGTGGGGTTGACCGCTGAAAGTCCCCGCTTTATTAAAAAATATGTTCATGTACGATGACGCCAACATGTGCGGAGAATATATCGCAGGGTCCATGAGGAAGAGCTAGATGTAGAGCCAATAAATCCCCGAGGTCTCTCTATCAATGCCTACAAAAGATACAAACATGCGGCTGATAGAAATACTGTTGAAAGCACTCATAGCCTACTCTACTGGTAATCCTACCGGAATACTAAAACTTCGATATTTCCAATTGTGATTAGAATCACGAGAAAGCACAGAACCTTTTATGGCGAGTTGCATTATTAGACCGCAGCACAACATGCAATGCTAGAGGCACAGTGACATAAACTACATGTAGGTACTGTATCAACGAGTCGCTGGTTGGAGATTGAGGCCTCAAAATACCTCAGAAACTAGACATCATATGATGGCATTTTATCCAACCTCAGCTTCATTCGATATTTTCTCGTCGCTTTCAGAACATTTTACCCCTCTTTGGCGGTTCGAGCTTTCAAAAAGGACCACTCTCAAGTGGGGGCGAAGACGGCGCTACATTCGTTACCAACGCTAGTATGATGATCTGAGCATTCTACGTGGAAGAGCTTATGGCAAGACTGCGGTATCTATCTGTATCCATCTGGAGAGGGATTGTACCTTTAGCAACACAATTATCAACACCCCCGACATTGTCAACGGACAAAAACAGCAATCAAGTTACCAAACGAACAAAATCAAGATTTGCCCCGTTAGCTACTGTACTGTAAATAGCGAATCTAAATAAAATCTGCATCCCGACCCGTGCTCAATCAATCCCATCGCCGATCACTCCCAGCCCAAACTCGCGAAACGAAACAATGCCCCATTCTGTCTGATGAAACAAAAATACCCTTCCCCATCGGTTGCCGCGTGCAAACGTTCAGTCCCACAACCAAGCGCTGAACTGCACTCCTTTCTGCCCCTTCCACGTCAAAAAATAACACTTCAGTCAAACAAAACCCCCGTCTCGCACAAAACGTCCCCCCATTACCCCGCGGCAGAACCACACACACACCTAACCCTCGCATGTTGTTGCAGTTGCATGCAGATCAAGGGTGATGTGGCAAGCTCTTCTTCTCCATGTAGCTAGCGACCCGTGGCTAAAAGCCTGCTGCGGAGAGACAGCAGCTACAGAGATAGATAACCGTTCTTCTTCCTCCTCCCCCCCCCCCCCGCTCTACTCTACTCAACTCACTCACCTTCTGTTTCTTTCAACCGTTACAGAGCAGCCCTTCATCAATCAATCCCGGCTGCTGTTGAAGAAGAAAGCTTAAATGGGACAGTGATAAAAGCAATTCTTACCGCCAAAGAAGAAAAAAAGGTATTTGCAAATTCCACCCCCAATTCCAATTCCAACCCCAATTCTCCCCCTCGCTCCCCCACAATAAATATACAGACACGCTAACTCGTCCTCTCCACTACAGAAGCTCCACCAGACCACCCCGCACCCAGCCAGCCAGCCAGCTCCTCCCCAATGGCCACCCAACAAGAAACCTTCTCCAACCTCGAAGAAGAACAGCTCTCCATGGGCCCCCAATACGACCTCGACGCGCAAGGGCGCCTCGTCAACTACTGCCTGCAGCTCGTCGCCTCCGACGCCGCCGCCGACGCCGAAAAACCGCACGACGGCCTCCCCCCTCCGAGGAGGAGGAGCTCCCACCGCTCAACCCGCTGCCGACATCCATGTCGGCAGCGACGAGCGCAATGGCGTCCATCCACCAGGACATCACAAACTACCTCTCTGCCACGCCGGCGGCCGCAGTAAAGTACGGCGACGTGCAGGTGCACCTGGGGTGGAAGATCGCGAAGGCGGCGGACCTGGGCGCGTCGATGGGCGAGATCAAGAAGTTTGTCAAGTGGAAGGTGGATGCACATAACCGGCAGGTTGCGCGGGACTCTGGCGCGGCGGTGGTGCTGGCGGCGGGGGATTCGGCGCTGTCATCGTCGGAGTGGGAGAGTGGTGGGGAGGTTGGGGGGAGTAGGAGGAGATTTGAGGGCGCGGCGATCAGTAGAAGGAAGAGGAATGTGGGTGAGAATATCGCGAGCGGGTTTGGGGGCGGGTATGTGTTGGGCGTGGAGAATCGGAGATGGGCGGTTTGGGGTCTGGCGGTGGCGGTGGTGGTGTATTTCTTTGCCGGGGCGGTGGTGGAGAGCGTCGGTGATGCTATCGACGATGTGGTGGATTACGTCGAAGACATCGACGCCGACACCTTCCTTGACCCTCTCCGCGCGGTAGCCAGCTTCTTCGCCGCCATCATCCATGCCATCATCGCAGGCCCAAAAGCAATCCTCGCGGCCGTAACACTGCTCACCCGCATCGACACAACCCAGTTCCTGACGGCCTTGCTCTTCCCCATGACGAGCATCGGGCCCGTCTCGCACCAGTTCTACTACGTCCTGCTCTCCGCGTACGCACTCCTCTTTGCCCGCTACCTGCGGCACGAGGACCTTATGCTGCACGAGCACCTTGCCGACAGCCCGCTGTTCTCGCAGCTGTTTAGGCCCGGCTTTGTGGCGTACATGGTTGTGCACCTCCTCACCGCGTCTCTGAGCCCCGTGTTAGGGCCAGACGCACTGTTGCTACATGCCGGCGAGGGGTTGCGGGCGTGGGGGGAGGAGGGGCTCCGCGCGAAGTTGGGGCTGGCAGGAGGGCAGTGGGGGTGTGGGGTAGTGGAAGTGTGCCCGATGTGGTATTTTGGTGGTGAAGCTGCCGGGACGGTGGGGGATTTGGCGGGGGATGATGTCGGTGCTGCGGTTACGATGGTTATGAGGGTGTTGTTGCTGGGCGTGTTGGTGGCTGGCGGGCTGGACCGGTGGTGGGCGAGGAGGGAGATTAAGGGTGTGAGGGTTTAAGAACGGCGATTTTGTATTGATGATGAATGCGTGTACAGAGTTGGTTGTGTGGCTTTTGTGTCGGAATGAGATGAGTTTTTTTGTATGGCGTAAAACGGGGGTCATGGTCAATTTGTTTACGAATGGAATGAATGGGTTTATGGGTACGTGGGGTTCTTGGGTATGTGGTATGGATGCGACGGGGGGGGGAGGGTGGTTTTGCTGTAGCTACTCGATGATGATGATAGCGTTCAACTGCGACTGTATGCGCAGAATTCAGAATTTTTTTTTCTTTGGGTTAAATACATCGGTCGAAAAAGTTCCGGTGAAGGTGAAGTCTCCTGCTGTTTTATTTTTGATGTGCCTCTATGAATGCGACCAGCACACACCACACACCACAACGCCTAAACGCTATCCTGGGGTAGGTAGGTCTCGATCTCGGAGATTCTTTTTTTCTTCTTTCTTTTCGGTTCTTAACCTGTAGCTTCCATAACGTACCGCCACCATAACCCAATCAGCGCTGTGGTTTTGTGGAAAAAAAAGGTTGGCCTTGGAGGCACGGAGGGTGGGTTTTGGTCATGGTGAATCACTCGCTCGCTTGGTTGCCAAGACTGTCGCTGCCCTTCAGCGCGGGGGTTTGGGGGATGGGGGATGGGGGGGTATTAGCCTAATATGTGCGTGGTCCAAAACCTAGCGATAGTGGGATGAGACTCTGGCTGTGGTTTGGTGGTTAGCAATCCGCCTAGCTACTATAGCCCGGGTCCTGCCTGAAGTTTGAGATGGAAGAGCTAGAGTACGTGTAGTTATAATTATAACTATGAATCCATCTTCTTGAGGGTGGGCATGGGGAGAGGAGGGGAGAGGAGAGGAGAGGGCTGTACCCGTATTTATACCTACCGGGCCGGGAGTAGCTGGGCTGGTGTCCATGGTACAATGCCACTTCTACGCCCCACGTTCACGCTCCCGATCCCGAGACTCTTGCCCGCTTCGAACCCGTGGGGCCGTGGATTAGTAGCTAGCTACATTTAGCTACATGTAGGTTTACGGTATATATCTTTTGGGATTATCGATTCGAGTTCGCTGTAATAAGGATGGTACAGTATACGTATAGTACACTGCGCGCTGGTGTGCCCTGCCAGACTATGGCGGGTGTTTCCCGTGCACTGATTATCATGGGATATTCTAGCTCGGGGGCTTGTTCGAGTTCGAGATTGATGAGCGTTATATCTAGATCTCACTGTCCTGTAACATGTTAATTTTACAGAACAATGCTCTCCGTACTAGTACGGTTAGGAAGTAAGTAAGTTCACTAGCCAACCAGGAAAGAAAAAAAGAAAAAAACGAAAAACGAGTGATAAATCATGAACCGACTCATTACAAAAAAATCAAAACTCTCGCTGTTCTTGAGTCTCTCAACCATCCATTCCTTTTAAAACTGGAACTTACAAGTATGAAATAAGAAGTTAACCATTAAGAGAAACCCGTGGTGTCAGGCCATCGCCCTTCTATTTCATTTGACTCCGGAACCCTCTATTAACACGAACAAGACGGCTCTTGTATTTCTAGACTGATGATCTAGCTACTTGTACTTTTTTATCCTCTATATTTCTTTACCTTTTGAAACCTTCCAATCACCCCCCCTACCAGCGATGCCGATAAGTTTATGAATCATGTGGCCATCTTATTGGTATGAAACCTGAGAACATGGTGAAAATCGTCAAAACGGCGGGCCCCACGATCTATAAGATTCCCAGCATCGCTAGGAATTAATCCGACCCAAACCCAACCCAGGTTAGCAGGCGAAGAGATTACAAAAATTGTTCTAAAGACCCGAATATGAATAGACGCCGACAAATGAAAAAAAAAATGAAAAGGGCAGGTGGCCGCTCGTTAACGTGGACATTATGAAATACACTTCAAAAATCGAGGTGAGGCGCTCCCCGGTTCAAAAGTTTGAATCCAAAGAAGATGTGGTTTGAAATTATACTGTTAACCGCATCGATTAGAAACTATATTACGACAGAGGCAGGAGAGAGAGGGAAGACCAACAGTGCCAGTGATATAGAAACACATATAGCGAGCATGCTATAGTTCCAGTAGATGCCCTTCTCGTAATCCTACCCAATCAATTATATCAGTAAGTATTTATGCACACGGATATGAACTGTATTACATACCCCGTAGGCAAAAGAAAGCAATCCCCTGATTCCCCAACTACCAGGAACCTGAATGAATACACCCGCCACAATGGCATTGAAAGCAAATTCGTCGGTGACTCTTGCATACATGTTTGAGAAAACCCCTAGGGTGAATGAAGCTGCGAAGGCATTGAATTCTGGAGGAGCGTGCCAAACTAGATCGGGGAGTCAATACTTTGCTCGAAAAAAAACTTTGTACAGAAGGCATACGATATTTCGAAGCGAACCCAGCTCCGTAGCCTAGACTACCGATAACAATCATGGAAGGCCACTGACGCCATGGTGTCTAGGAAGCCATATGTTAGTATCACATCCTGTCGGAATTAAAAGAGATAAACAATGCAGTACCTTCAGGTAAATATTATATGCACAAATATAAACCGGCACACAAAGAAACAACCAAAACTTATTGACAACAATTCCCTGGCTTGTGTTACAAGTGGACAACAGATCCACCGGCAGTCTCTGAAACCCATCTCCACTCATGTTCCCCGGGGCGTTGTATAGAATGGGCGCAAGCGTGAAACCTAGCACCATGCAGCACAGGTATACAACCGTATACACTAGCCGAATACATCCAGCAATTGTATTCTTAGTCATTATCTCAACGACAGAGATAGAAACCGTGTATCCTGGAAGAAGCGTGACGGGGGCAGAGAGAATCAATGTCGAGTAGCAGAAATGCTTCGAAAGGATAGTAGCAACCAGCGAGACAAAAAAGCACGCAATGCATTCATATGTCCACTATTCCCAACCCATTAACTTCAAGCAAAAGTGCCATGTGAGAAGAGCCAACACATACCCATAGCCTCTCCCATCTATTTGCAACCAAAAGTAACGCCGCCGGAATCAATGCCAGCGCCCCTGACATTGCTGCATCTTTCCAATCTCCACCAAAGAACATAATTGCACTCGTCGCTGCCGCTGGCACATAAGATGCCGCAATCGTATATTGGTTCCATGCACTTTCCAAACCCTCTATCCTCTCCAACTCAGCATAGATATTTGGCATAGTCAATCCCGCGGGGTCCCTGACGATTCTCTTAACCAAATCGAAAACACAAGGGAGTTTTGTAAAGTTCATTGACCCCCTTTTGATGATGGGGTACATTGCTGGCGGACCTCTTTTGTTTTTCGGTGGGAAAGAAATCACGGTTTGACTGTTCATGGTGTGCACATTTGTCGGGACGTCAAAAACTTGGCCGAGGGCTTCAATGACAGGCTGGACACGATGAGAGGGACCGCCGTGGGAGATAAAGGCGGTTCCCACATCGACAATGAGGTCATGCAACTGTTGTTGGAGGTCTTCTACAGCGTTACTTTCTTTGTACAAGGCTGTTGTCGACGAGAATCTTGAAGAGGGAACTTTCAAAGAATCTGATAACAAAAATCAGCTTTTATTATGTCTTCGATCATGTGGTGAGAATGAGTAAATACTATGTTGTACCCCTGTGACCAAAGTGAGGCCGTCATCACTTTTCTTCTCCGTGTTGTTTTCGGTGCTGTTGGATACTGGGCGGATATCTGGAAGTTGACTTTCGAGGTCACTATCTAGAGACATAATATTAGAAAAATAATAAATTAAACAAGCAATTTTTTGGGGGGGAGGGAAACGGGCTTGAAACAGGCCACGTCGTTGTACTTACTGCGTGCGCCTGTCACCGTCATTTTTTTTAAATAAAAAAAAATACAATTGCCTTTCTGACCGATCTGAGCTTCTTAAACTAATAGAAGAGATCAAAGAAAATGTGTAGTTAACGATGAGGATATGCAGGATATTTCGATGGATGGATCAGATAAAGTCAGACTGGAGGAAAGGGTTTGATCAGATAACGACGTCCTATCCAAGGCGCACAAGAGGGTAACTCCCCACCAGGGTGCTTTAGACGGGTGCACGGACCGTATGATTGGACGGAATGTTAGCCAGTAGGGAATTGAAATGACTGGGACCGTGTTTCTTTAGACCGAACTGTGGATACTCGTCTGACAATCAAATGATGAAGAGAATAGGAGAAGGAAGGTGAAGAGCATTTACGATTCCCCAGCAGCTTACTCGGCCTAAGGTACATGTGCGATGCAGGGAGGCTCTCTACAATCCAAGCCGTAGGTGCGTGTGCGTGGATCTCGGCTTCATCAATTGGATTCCCAAACCGTGCCTGATATTCCAAAACCAGTATGGCCCCGATGCTGCGCACATTTTTGGACCTCATATCGTTGGGTACCCTGGTGGTTCATCGATGATATTGTGGTTGTTATACACCTGGTAGGGTATCTCCCTCGGACTCTGCTCCAATTGCTTACTGTAGCTACCTCAAATATGCTCAAACCAGTGCACACTCAAGTAAATATCCTGGTAACAACTGCCAAGCTCGAGGCACTTTTCAACATCACAATCAATGACTTCATCTCTGGACTTGTCGAGAACCTTAAAAGAAAAAATGAATCATGATCATATTTTATCAAAGATTCCGGTGCGGTGTGGAATGAAAGGCGTCGTGTATAGTTCCTGTCTGGTGGTTGATCATTGCCTCTTACGTCCCCTTGCCAAGACCAAGCAAGTACGGTAGCGCTACTGGTACTACCGTAGTTGGGATAAACATAAAGAAAGTCCTCCAAACAAAATCTTTCCCTAGAAAGATCAGATCGTGCCTGCACAAAATGAAATCTACGATCAAACACGTCCTGGTAATCCAGATGGTCGCCGGCCGTTGGACTAAATAGAAGGAAGGGAGAAAAAAAAAGACAACAGAGCGTCAGAGGTACCATCAAGGTGTCTACATGTACCCCGCCATACAATACTAGCTACCAAGGTACTCATGACGGTTGAAGAATTCTCGGACCAAACCAATTATCTCGCTAGAGAGAGCGATCCCTCAGATTATCATATCTTAGTCCTTAAGCGATAGGCGCCACACCCTCTGATCAATGTCCGGGCCAATTGGGTATTGCTAATTTAAAGCCCGTGGTACCATTATGCTGTCGTGCTGGTCTTGTACTCAGATCCGTCCCGGGGATCTTGGTTTTGGTATGATGGCGCTCAAGTAGATTGACAGCTTTCAGGTTATTGGGCTTACTCCTCACGGGAAGAGACTTAATGCATGGCAAACAAAGCACGACGACAGGTACCGTATCGTGGATCACAAAAGACACATAGCATCCGCGTCGACTATCGGGGCCTGAATTTCGGGCAACAGGCAGGTGTTGAATTCTCACCGATCGTCCCTTGCTTCCAAGTACAACCATCGAACTGCCGACTATCAAAGATTTCGAAAAAGTTGAATTATAGAGCTAGAATGAGGCACTTGGCACCACAAACGGACAGACAGGCCCTTGTATAACCCGCATGACCTAGGTACTCGTATTTTCGTGACGTTTATAAAAGGAACCGCTATTGCATACCATATTAAATTGTAGACTTGGCGCGTATTTGTATAGTATGCACTACTATGCAATAGTGATTCCTTTTACAAACGTCACGAAAGTACGAGTACAGATTCTGTCACCCATCCAGGATTCGGACGTCAAACTTAATGTATGTTCACCGCGTCGAATCGATTATCTCCAAACTGTCGCTATCTCCACACTAGCGTGCTTTTTTCCCTTAAACTTGGGTAGTCAAAGGCTTTCTATCGGAGTTGAAGGTCGACGTACCTACCGCAGTATCTGCAAAATCCTGAAACCTCCCCCCATCTTCAAGCCGGCCTAAATGAATTGAAAGGGGGCATGCAGATTTCAATCCCAGAAGCCCTTCCTTTATAAGGCTGCTTCTCCCCCTCGTCCAGTTCATCATCATTTCACTCACCTTCACTCACCCTCACATCCCTCACCAGCACAACAATTACACATTCTACCCACAAAATCCCAACTTCTACTATCATTTACAATGCCATCTATTGAATCCCATGATCTCTTCCCCGCGGGTATGCAAGCTGGGAACAGGTTCTACCAACCCCCTACTCCCCCTCTTGGCCCTCTTGAAGAGGACATTGTAGAAAAGTACATCAGTATCATCCTAAGTCTCTACGCCGAGCTGGCTAGTTTCAGAGATCTCGACCCCGCTCCTCAGGTCAATGCTGCTTTTGGAAAGTTGGTTGGACTGTGCGCCGAGATGCTAAAAGAGGAGGTCGCGGAAAAGGTATGGTATACCCGTTCACCCCCGGCTAGCCTTTCAGAATCAGTAATCGGAGACTAACTAGAATTGTGTTAATAACTAGATTGTCAATGATCACCGTATCGTTAAGATAACTGCCCACCTACGAGAAATCTGTTCTCAGGGAGAATGTAAACTCGAGGCATACTGGGCCACAAAGCTTAGTTCTGAGAAAGATGGTTTGAATAAACCCCCCTTCCCTCTCCCCCATGCGCAGCGTTTGCATGAAAGCAGAAAACTAACATCACGGAAACCTGCAGTGAATGCTGAGCTCCTCAAATTCCCTTACTACACCAACTATGTGGACCTCACCCGCATGGAGATTTACGCAATGATTTCCATGCTCCCCACTATGCCACGAAAGTTCGCCTTCATTGGCTCCGGACCCTTGCCCCTCACCTCACTCTGTCTCGCAGATATCCTCGAGAAGGAACTACACAGTGACTCAAAAGTCCCTCTTCTGGTCCACAACATCGATCGCGACGCCAGCGCAATTGAGCTCTCCTCATCCCTATGCCAAAAACTCGGAAAGCGCGCTCGATCAATGACCTTCCAGTGCACAGAGGCGATGGAGGACCAGAAAAAGCAGGACCTGACCCAATTCGACGTTGTCTACCTCGCCGCTCTCGTCGGCGCTAACAAGTCGCAGAAAACAGAAATCATTGCGGATGTGGCTGGAAGAATGAGGGCGGGCGCGCTGTTGGTTATGAGGAGTGCACACTCGCTCAGAAGCTTGTTGTATCCGGTATGGCTCCCTACTTTTTCCCTTCCCTGCTTTTCTTTTTTCCCGTTAGGGAGGGGGGAAAAAATAGAGTGGCTTTTACTAACGATATTCGACTTAGGTGGTTGATCCGGGTACCGACCTCGAGAAGGGCCTCCTCGAGACTTTGCTGGTATCACATCCGTACAACCATATCGTCAATTCCCTTGTCATCTCGCGTGTCAAGGCACCTATTGATGGAACGATCTGATTGAATACCATACAATACGGACGGGTTTTCTTTTTATTTCGAGCGGTTTCCCTTTTATTGGTTTTTATGACGATTTTTTGTGGTTCTGCTTGCGGTTTTGATGTTTTTTTGTTTTTGTTTTTTAATTTTTGTTATTCAAAAAAGGAGTTTTTTTTCTTTGAAGTGCAGTTGGTAGTTATGCTTGGCGAGTCCCTAGTTTTGAAAACGAATAAAAAGACTTTGATCGTACTACCGCCATAACTCGAAAAATTGGCTAGATTAGAATTACTTGTATGGGATACTTCTGATGTAGATCGATGCCATCCAACCAATTATTCAAGCGGTAGTCCCTGGACGGAGATAGCCAATTTTTCGAGTTTTGGCGGTACATACTTGCTACACCTGGTAACTATTATTTCGGATATAACCCTAGCCCTGGGAAATGTTCAGCCCCGATGCAGTGTCAACTTTTGAGGATCATCCAATACAACAGATTTTATGGGAGTTGTTAAACATCTTCACCACCGATTACTTTTGAGCTTAACGCAGGGAAATTGTCCACTGCGATAGGAAACGAGAAATCAGCTCAGGAACTACGTAGGAAGTATAAGAAGAGAGCCGACATAATACTATCCTACTCACATAATTCCTTCTTCAACCCAAGTCGGTGACGTTCAAGTCCAAGGCTCCAAGTTTGTCTTCTCCATAAGTAAAAGCTCGAGTCCTTTCGCAATAGTATTCGGCGCCGAAGTTCTCCATATCCCTTTTATTGGTGGTCCGCCCCTGGTAAGATGAACATTTCGGTAGACAGCGTCTAGAAATATGCGGCGTTGAGCGTACAATATACCTTGCTCGGTGTCGTTGCAAGGTGATCCAAGAAGATTGTTGACCTGGGGTCCGCTAGCTCGGAGCTCCTCAAGGTTAGAGGGTTAGGATTGGGAGGCTTAGTCCAGTACTCACGCCCGCGGTAAGATAAGCTGATAAGCAAACCAAAGAACTGATAAATCAAGCATTGGGTTGGATGTCCTAGCGGTATTTGGCCGAGCTAATGTCTGAATATCTACTGTGTCTTAAATATGCGTGCTCGATCAACACATGCTGCCCCCACCACACCTGCAGGTGGTTTCAACGAAAATGAATAGCTCTCACCGGCCCTGGCTACAAGAGATTGATGGGAGACGCACCTCCTACCTACAAACTTAAAACGGCACTTTATATCACTTCCCGGCCGAGTTTAGTAAGTACGAGTGTTTACTAATAGTCACACAACACAAATTTATCAAACGAGCTGGTCAGAAATAACCAGTCATATTTCAATCCACTAACTGGCTTGTCGGAACGTTTATGGGTTTCTTGTTTCGGCGGCTCGAGTACGATGATTGGAGGCTTGGGGATGGTGATGTGTACGAGAATGCCGAAATAAATCCGCGTATCTACAACCGGCTCGTGTCTTGTTGGTGTAGAAAACAGTATCAATACATCACTCGTGCAACTCAGCAATATACTGTTTAATGCGTACCGTTACAACAACTTCGTCATATGCAGATACCCTTTTCTTATATATATCCGCAGGCGCCATCGGACCAGTGCTTGAGGCTCCCATACTCTACTTGTGCTCTTTCAATCTCAGCGACCTATATATGGTCCAGACCAGAGTGTTTTTCAAATAGCTATAGCTAAACAAGAATCTCTCTGTTTCTATGTGTACGATATTGTAAGTGCTTCGGGATTTCATGGACTCCTTTCGAGCTAATATACTCAGCATACTCTCCAGATAAAACCAGATTAATGCCAAAAGACATTTGAAATATGTAAGTTTTCGAGACGTTTATTGGTCGCGGGCTTGTCCGCCGAACCGCCATACTCCCCACGCATCACTAATTCGAGTGATATTCTATGATTACGTTGCTCTTAAACAACCACTAGCCAACCACTATTAAAATATTAAAAACCCAACTACTATACTATTATGCCGGGTTAAATCATAAGTAGTAAAATATGAGATATTAAAAGGTTGCATTGATAGTTCGCCGCCATATCTACAACCCCCACTCCTAGGTTGAACTATAGACCTTCGATAGGTACAACTTGGCACAATTAACCCCTCGGTGTATCCGGAAGGCGAGCGTTAACCGGTTGGCCACTCGCCCATGTGTGTTATGGGTAGGAAGTGATATTTGAACGCAACGGCTGATTGCAGGTAACTAATACTATTCCTATTAGGTGAGCTGTGATGCCGGCCATTGGGTTTAGACCTTTTCTCTACGGGTTGGAAAATGGCAAGACGATATCAGCTATCCTTAATCCGCGCGCGCCATTCATGGGCACAGTCAATGCTAGTGGGATGTAATATCACTTACAATTTACCTAGACAAAGACAACCTATGAGGGTTAATAACAAATATATCTTAACACTACTCTAGTTCTATATATTCCAGCTTTTAGCAACCGAGCGCCTTTCTTTGCCCTTTATCGTACGATGTACGAAGCGAACCAAGAGAATTAGAAATGGGGTAGGCAAAGCGGCGGGAAGGATAGACAACAAATTGCACATGGAAAGGATGGGAGGGGCCGGAGGAAGGAATCGGCTGTTACAAATTTCTTTGTAATTTCATTGTTATTATTGTTATTTGTTTTGTTTTATTTTTATTTTGAAATTTCTGTCAGTTATCATCATAACTTCTGGGTCAGAGGGTTGCATACAATTAAATGAAGTAATCAATAAATCAATTTGCCCTTTATCGCACTTGGACTCGAGCAGTAGCGGGGCACGTGTCTAGGGTTAGGGTTATAAGTTATAGACTGCATTCTTCAATTCTTCCATAGCAAAGATGGCTATTTCCTGATGTTTTGAAAACCTTTTTTTTTTGCCTCGGTAGGCTTGGGTGGCTGGATAGTTCAAGAAGCGGTCCAGACAGGCCGTTAAATAGTTCACCGCGTCGATATAGGCTTTTCCTTTTTTTACTAGTGCGAGGAAATATGAAAGATCATTTTCCGACTGAGAACTATTTCGGGAGAAACGGGATGGGGGAATTTAATGTATATCTAAGGTTTTCGGAATGGCCATTACTATCAATTGGCTTTGGGATTTGAATAATACAGGTACTAGGTTTGAGAAAGTTTTCTTCCTATATATGGTGTCCCCAATCATCCAGAGCCCGATAGCATTCAGGCAAACTAACCCGCAGAGGGACGGCAGCCACAGTCAGATCTCTGTCACCTGCCTAATAGATACTACCATTGGGTCTCCGAAATGGTCTATGGACGTAATGAAGGAAAATAAAGGGAAATAAAGAAATGAGTGCACATCTAGGCGGGCAATTATAGGAAAGGTGCTACGCCTAAAGGCCTTGAAATAGCGAGTGATAACCCTATATGTATACACCATGAAATTCCGCCGTCCAGTACGCCAGTACCTCATTGTCATCAATGCAGTACTCACAAGGTCATGTGAAACCTCAGTAGAAACTTGGCAAGATCTGAGTCGTTGTAATCACCAATACTCGATTCATGACGCTGAAGTCTTGTCAGAGCGACCTTTTTCCCACGAGTCAAATCCTCTCAAAAGGTACATGTTACTGAGGGGAACGGATCCTGTGAAGAACCAGTCTCCCCCAAACGCACATTTTCCCAACTTACTAGATGATGCTTTGCGCACCAAATATTTGCAGACGAAATACCGTTCTATTTCTTTGCGTTATTGGGGAAGAACTTGTGGTGCATGTATGTACTTAGCCTGACATAACCGCCTTCGGGAGCGCGGTGGGGTCCGGGAGACTCGAGGTCCTGAGCTTTATGCCATAGACCGAAGTTTGAAACAGAAATTTTGATATGTTTTATAGAGTCGGAAGATCTTTATGGGGTATCGTAGCCCTGTAATTGTGCTGCAGGCGTCGGCCGGTGGTATATTTTGGGTGTAGAATGTATGTCCAGCAGAGCGAGAAGGGTTATAGAACCGTCTCTCGATCTCCACAGTGTAAGCAAAAGATGGATTTATTAAAGAGAAGTGACCTGTTGTCGATTTTGCTGTCACACGAGTCAGACTATTCTTGCTGTGGGCGATGGGACCGAGAGCATAGAGGAAGGGAGTTCTTAATTACCTATATAGCAGACTCTATATCCCTATATCATTTTGATCCTTCCAGACTCGAACGGAATGAATGAACGTCTTCGCACGCAATTAATGAATTAAACAAAAAAAAAAAAAAAAAAAAAAAGAAATGAACGTCTTCGCCCAGATATCCGAGTGATACCTTATGATTAAATTACGGTTAACAGGCTTAATTGGAGTACTACAGCGGTTAAGGGATTTTCCGGCCTCACGAGAGAAACTTCCTGGTGTTCGTGGCCACTTGTTGGCGGTGGTCGTTGCAGTGGTGATTTTGGTGTGTTCGTCTATTGGTGTGTTGGTGACGTTGTGGTGCTGGCAGGTTTGCTCTCATAGCGTTATTCTACCTCTCTCGTTACCAGAACTAACTGGGAGTAAACCACGCCAAGGCACCTGTACACCCGCCTATTACTTCAGCTTCAACATCATCCTCATTTTCATCCCCTCACACGCCATCATCGTCCATTATCTTCATCAGATACGCTTTCATTACATTTCTGTCCCCTGGTACGCGCCCATTGATACATACCTCTCCCCCAGAAAACTATAGCTAATGTTTTTGTGCAGGTGTTCAGTTATCAACAAAGTTAAAGCGGGCTGCAGGAGGAATAGTCATTTAAGCCATCAGATGGCAAGAGCTTCTACCCGGGAGCCTTACAAGCATCCTAGGAACGTAAGTCTAAAATCCTTCCGTTCCTCTACCCCCTGTTCACCGTTGTTGTAAGAAAAGACCGCACAGTAAAATATTCATTTGACCGCGCGCTTCTCTAACTACCGCGGTGACATGGTCGATTCCGCTGTAAAACATTTAAGGGTTAGCAGCTTGATCTTATGCATCTTATGCTAACAATTGATGTAGAATTTGTATCACGCTCCTCCCCTCTACTCCACATGGGATGATTCCTGCAAGGTAGAAGAAGACATGTCCACTCGTTTTCGTCCTGCATCCAGTCAGGTTGAACCGGTCCCGTTGCTGGAAACAATGTCTCAATCTACCTCGAACCCACCAGCCCACCCTCCAATTCCCACTCAAAATCCAACACAAACATCGGACGCACGCCCAATACCGCCTCATCTTCGTGTTCTAGCTGTAAAGTCTGCGAGTATTGTGAGCAAAGAAGAAATTGCGAGAAAAGAAGAAATTGTGAGGACGAAAGACACCTCTTCAGAAAAGCCAGGCGATAAAGCCCAGATCGAGCAGACACCTGCTAAAGAGGAGGAACAAATATTGGAAAATCGGCCAGCAATTTACATTCATCCACATCTACGGCCTATTATTCCACAAGCTGCCAACGAGACTGAAAATAAACCTAAAACGTGGGTCCCTCCCCATTTACGAAAACCGGAGGTAGCAAAGACTGTTGAACCTCATTCAAAAGGCTCCAACTCTATAGGGCCATTAGCACGACCGATTAATGTACCTTTCGTTGCCTCGCTAAGAAATGACCCTGTGGTCTTGAAGCCCACACACCAAACATCTGGCCAAGGTCATCATGGTGGGGTTGATTTTGAGGGGCCGGACAAACAGTCAATCAAGCCTGTATCACAACAGGCTGGAGCCGTGCGAGAAGAAAGTGAAAATCAGATCGAAATACGATCAACGGAGGTTGGGTCTCAAAGACCATTCCTGCCAGTCAGCCCCGAGGAGGATAGGTCTGTGTCGCCGACACCTAAAACCGGTCCTGCTAACGAACGGTCCCCGCCAAACTCCCTTCCTCCATTTCCTCTATCACAAATTCCGAAGTATAGTTGTCAAGGGGGGATTAAGTTCACGGATCAAACGAATAATCACCCACACGGTCAACCTCGAACTCAATCGTATAGCCGGCCCCGAACCCTGGTACACGGTCAACCTCGAACCCCACCTTGTGGTCAGCCTCGAACCCTATCACATGGCCAACTACAGAGTCCACAAAATTCTCGCCGTGACGAGATTTCTACCTTCAATTGCTCAGATAGCTCCCAAAAAAACAGTCGACCACTTATGAGCCACGAGTCGGGACAATTCATGCTGAACCACCAAGAGATTCGTAAGAGGAAATCTTACACAAAGTACCTGACGAAATCTAGACATACGCCCCCAAAACCTCATTTGCCATTTGTGCCTGTCCACAGATTTTATCAGGGCGATACTGAAATATATGGGAAATTTTCTTCCATAAAATCCGTTGAGCTCGATGAAGATTACAAAAATGTAGCAGCACTAATGGCTATTGGGGATCTTGAACGTAAACGCACTGTGTTCGCGATACCGTCCCATGAAGAGATCCAGAGGCATATGGAGCTAGTAACTCTTCAGTCTCGCCAGGATCGATCAAATAGCGATGAAGGAAGTGAGGAGGGTCATGAGGAACATGAAAAATATGAAGAGGAAGAGGCACGGCATAAACAAGATCTGAACGAGAAAGAGGATGCCCCAAAATCGAACATCACGCCCGTGAAATCCGTAGAGCAGCCCTTGGAGATAGTTGCCGATGAGTCAGAACAGAATCTAAGAAGCATTTTCTTAATCGGTCTCCCTCACAACATGACTTTGAAACAAATTTCCAAAATCTGCTCAGGTTCGGGAGTTATTGAAAGCATTCAGATATGCAGAGAGAATGGGATAGCGTTAGTAAATTTTGTTGTGGCTCTTGTAGCCAAACAATTCTATGAAGTCACCAAAGCCAAAGGCGTCACACTCGTTTTCCTCGATGAAAATAAAAATACGGTCAAGAAACAAATTATTGTGAAGATGGATATCCAGGGCACGCTTGTGCCGCAGGAAGTTCTTGATGCTATTGAAACACTCAACGCCAGTCGCGTCCTAGATATTCTGGGCTGGGACCGGAAGAGCCTTGAGAATTCGGTAGGATTGAATCGAGAACGCGAGGCAGACCTTACAGATTTACTCTTAAGACTTACATCACAATATGTCTCGCGTTATCTTGACACTCATCATGGTGAGCCAAAAGTGCAAGATGTGTCATGGGAGGTAAATAAGTATGGGTATCTACAGGCCACTTTGATATTCGCGGGAATCCAGGATGCGATGATTGTACGTCGTTATATGGAAGAAGATCATAGACTGGACGGATGCTTTATAAGCTTTGGGAAAGATCCGTGAGTCGATTGTCCACTTTTACCAATAGTTTTTCATCGAATGCTGACAGATATCTAGTTGCGCTTCTTGAAATAGACTTTTCAAATCTGCTATGATATAGACGGCTGTATATCAAATTCGGCGGACTTCCTTGTGTGCTATAAGAGTCGATTCATGAAGTACTAGTTTCCTATAGTCTTCTTGTGATCATTTGTAGACTATTATCTAAATCCTTGATATTCTAATACTCTTCAAATACAACAAATAAAAATTTCCAAATCATGCAATCTTTCCTATGGGAAAGAATACTGTTCCCATAAACGATAAGCGCCAGCCGAAGTTCTGGTAAAATAACCGCGACATTGCTTCGGATCAAGCATCTTCTGTCACCGCTATGTGCTCCACAAAACCCTCAAAAACCAGTATATCCTCTATCAAACCATATTTCTCCAATCATCCCGGACATCCGATTCTGTGCCTTAATTGATTACTATCACACCCATGACCACATCAATACATACGCACATTTCAGCCTACCAAAACAGTGCTACAGTACGTGCCACTCGTTAGAGTTAAAAATCCCCCACCCTTCTTCCGCCCCCAAGCTCTTCAAACTGCTTGGCATTCCACGTGCCTCCTCTGAGCCTCCTCCAGTGAGCCTCCTAATTCTTGTTTCTGCTGGCGAAATTCCCCGATTTCAATGCTCACACCCCCACCCCCACTCCCCACTCCCCACTAGCGGAATAGCCGTTGGGATACATGCGTATACTGCTCCGGGATGTTTCCCGAATATTCCACCCCCCCCTATTTCTGTTTTTGTTTTCTTTGTTAGCACGTTATATGGGCTTGTGATGGTGGCGTTTTGAGAGATGGCTGGCATCGGCAACATCATCGTGCTACACAAAATGTGGAGATGCGATGAGCCTGAAGATAATTTTGAGGTATTTGTTTTTGTTATTTTGGGGGGGGATGCCACGGTGGGGCGTGGGGAGAGGATTGCTAGTGTCAAGGGAAATTTCGAGTAGGTCCGGGATGGAGTCTCACGTATTTACATGGTGGTGTTCGACTCAATATGATCATTGGATTCTAGGAGATAACGTGACTGTATGTACATGTGGGTAGCTACTGACTGCTTCAGATCCAAAACATACGACAATGGCCCTACATGAAAGTGAAGACGATCAGGGAAAAAAATACACACCTCACCTCGCTTCGCTTCTACTCAGCTATGTAGAGTACCAATTCCTGCAAAGCTCAAGAAGTGCCTACATTACTACATACTTCATGTCCCTTACTCTACCTCCTCGACTACGGAGTGCATGTATCATGAGTTATTAGACAAGACACGTCGTTACTACGGATAAACTGCCCATTAAATGAAATCGAGATCCTATCCTAGCTTCCTGACTCATCCCTAAATCATCCCCCATCACATCGCATCCCGCCTAATAGCTCTGGGTAGGTACTCTATGTACATAGTTATAGTACTTTGGTTTACCGTTCCCCTGGATCGACTCGTCGGAACTCTCGCCGTTATGGGGATTGTGGGCCGTTGGGACATGGGGATTGTGGGCCGTTGGGACGCGGGGGCCGTTTGGGAATTTCCCATGAACCTGAGTTCGCAGCCCAGAAAAGTGTGCTTTTGGTTTTACAGCTGTGTATGTGTTTATGTGGTCCTTAAAGTTAGTACTCTACATCGCTACATGATCGCTCATAGTTAGAGTGATAGAATACCAGTAGCATTCACATCTAGAAAAACCTTAATTGTAGTTGCCTAGAGTACCATACCTATAAGATACCTCCTACTGGGATACGGGTTCAATTCAAAATTCTCAGATGATGCGAATTAGGGTACATACAGGACTCCATCCCCCTTTCCCGTATTGTACGATTGTATGTATTTTGCTACTTTATTCGCCTGCCCCCATGCCGGAGATGGAGGAACGACCAATGAATTTCTTGATATTATCTCGCTTAAGATGGGGCTCTTATTAACGTTGCGGAGGTCGGGCCTTATCATCCTCCGCCTTTTTCGTTCATATTGTTTATTTTAGCTGTCACTTTCTTTGCCTAAGGCTATTTATTATCTTTGTTTGTTATTGTTGTTGTGTGCTATGATTGATCCATACCAAGAGACCGGATGAACATGTAGACCAAGCTTTTGACAAGGGTGTCAACTTCAAGCAAGATTCCTCAGAAACCTTCAGGAAGCATCGGCCGACGTGGCCGATGAGGATCTACGGGGCTACATTCAAATAGTCTCCAATGAGAAGAGGGTGAATGCGCTATGGCCTGCGGAAGATGCCGAGTGATTAACCGTGTTTCCGTGTGAGGTTCGGAGTATGGCCGCTACTTAGGTTTCCTTCTTGGTCATAGTACCTAGGGCAACTACCTGAGGAATTAAGTCCTTACTATCTTTGTGGATGTTGGCATGTGCAGTCAAAATACTCGGGTTGAAAATCTCCCCAAGTTAAGAAAGTGGTACGACACAAACCACATCACTGAGTTCCCCTTCCATCCTATCCTGCCCCCCCTTCTGTGTTGGTTCTTTGGGCCATTCCTTTTTCCGGCCGACTCCTGCTTGTGTAAAGACACCGAATTTCAAAGTTTCGGGCGAACCTCTCCACCGGTATATTGCATTATGTAGCCATGCCACAACACCAAAGACTGCAATAACCAGCACTGAGGTAGCTGGGCCGTTCCGAGATCCGCTCTCCGGTTGACTCCAAGATCCCAACCCCATGCCCGGGCCGGGTTATCACGCCAGTCTTCCTCGCTTCATTGTGTAACGAACAAGCTCCCACTTCTGGATTAAAGGGTTTAGATTCTTACGTAGCCCTACGGTTTATGAGTTTATGTGTAGAGTAGAAAATCTTGCAGTAGTAAAATTCCCAACGTTTCGAATTAATAGAAACATACAAGTAGAGGAAGCGCATGTACCGAATAAGACGAACCATGGATATCCCGTCCTTTGGAGTATGCTGGCTGGCAATTCTAATCTATTATTCGGACCCTGCCTGGGGACAGTCTGACGCCTCACATTGCATGGGCGGGTATCGCTCCTCCTTCCTCTCGCCAAATCCTGCAGAGCTCTCTCCGGATGATTACGTAACAGCGACCACGACCCCACCATACTTCGTGCCAAGCTAGTCTATCAATAATAAATAGAGTTAGCGCGGATGTAGCCGCCTACGCGCCGAAGGACTCCGCACTTGTGCAAAAAAGAACGCAAGTCGGTTAAACGCAATCCTCGATACCTCGCGCACGAGGCATAAGAAAGGGTGGCTTATACATGAAATGGAAAGAAAGAAAGAAAGAAATGGGACGGCCTTCGAACCCAGCAGAACCCGCAGTATCAGAATCAATCGCGCGGATGGATATGAACCAACCTCCGTCTCCAACATGGGACTGACATCATGTCCTGCAGCTAGCTACCCTGCCTCGTTGCCTCAATTCATGCGTTAAATGCCCGTTGACGCCCCCACTCCCGCTTTCCCCCCACAAGCATTCGGGTTGGCCGATTCGGATGCCCTAGATCGCTACTTTCGTTGGAAAGAATTCTCCGGGAATGTATGGAAGGCCTAACGAAGGGAATTCGCCGTTGAGGCTGAGATCGATATAGATGAGATATGCCCTGTCATTTCAGCCTCATCGTAGGTAAGTAGGCAGAGCTTTCAAGTTCATGCGAGATGGCTTGGTTTAGTTTAGTTCACGGATGTTTAATCAGAGTACGCAAAGTGCATGTACTTAGCTGTGCCTTTGCAATCAACTGCAGTAAACTACATCCAGTCTCCCTATAGATGCTACTGCCAAATTATTCCACTATTCCATTGGATTAGGAGCAGGATTGAATCATTGAGTTTCCTATAACGTCAGTCTGCGTTCAGTACGTTACAGTGCGGTGTTTTTGCTCCCATTATCAATGGTTGGGATGGTGATTGCCGTTGTGTAGTTGTGGTAAAACAATTGGCTACACATCTGGGCGTAGAAACACCGTAAATATGATAGAGACAGTCATCTGTCTGTTTCAGAGACCACGAGACAAAATCTGGAATATTCACTGATGCCTTCGATTCATTTGCCCCCTATCCCCTCAGCTCAAATTTAGGAATATACCGAAAGGTAGGAACCAGTGTTACCTGGATGCTCTACTGACACGAGTGAGAACACATGAATGTCTACATCTATCCATCCATGCAGGGGCAATATCAAGCCCCCTTCGGCCGTTTCAACTTCACGTGGCGGGGTAAGTCCGAAGATTCTAATATGAATCCCGTGAGAGAGAGTGCCTTGCGTAGGGCCGCCCGCTAAGCATCGAAGGTTATCCCTGGTTTCTAGAACAGAGCTATCGAGGGGCTGAGTACCGCCGGTAGCTGAGTGTGAATGAGGGAGGTAAGGCGGGGGACGAGTAGGTTCCGCGGGCGCTTAATTTAGAGAATTTGTCAATTCCGATATCTGCTGTCCCTTGGTCATTGCATATTTTAGGGATTGGCTGATAGCTTGGTTAGTGACCTGTAAGCACCTGTTATGATTAGCTAGCTAGATTACCAAATTTTCTTAGTGCAATTCGCTTGCTTTGATGAGACTTGCCTTACGCCTCCCGGCGGTGATCACCGAGAAACGATGAGTTTGAGAATGACTGAGATGAAGCCTTGATTTCGAGAGCCCGGGAATTGGAGCCTTGGGCTTGAGGGATTTGTTCTAATCCCCCGGCCTTTCAACAACGCCCCTAGCTTGTGATTGAGGACCAATCTCCCCATTGGGGAGGTAGTCTGTAATCAATTGATGGTCAAGCTTTCGTGTGAATTGTGTAAATTGTGGGAAACGTTTCTAAAGAGTCTTGGATGCCTTGGGAGCTTGGCATGTTTAATTGCTTGAATGAAACCAGCCGTATACCAGGCCGGTGGTACTTTGAATGCTTGAGCTATCATATCGTGTTCTCTGAAAAACATCGTTGCGCTGTAGTAGGGGTGTTCTAATCTTGTGCAGTTGAAATTGGCGTTCAAAGGCCGCCTCTTGTTGAAGTAAGACCTGTCGAGGCGTAATAAACTTTGAGTATATGTGTCGATATTTCAGTATTTGTGGAGTGATATACCGCCAAAACTCGAAAAATTGGCTATCTCCGGCCAGGGATTATCACTCGAGTGATTGGTTGAATGGCATCGATCTGCATCAGAAGTTTCCCATACAAATAATTTTGATCTCTGGAAGCTAGCCAATTTTTCGAGTTATGGCGGTATATGCCAAGACTTAAAGGACAAAGTTACTGGAAGAGGCGTCACAAAGAAAGTTTGTGATGCGGCCTGGACAACGGAGGACACAGTCTCGATAACGTGTGACCCATCTATAAATTAGAATTATTCACGACTTTTAAAAAATAATTAATTCAGACTTAACCCAATCTGTGATGATTATTCGTTACCAGGGTTAGGGGCGATCTTGGTTTCCTTCTTGCACAAGACAACCAAATCGAATTAGGTAATTATTGACGAGCTCTTAAAGAGGTGTTCCCCACCAAATTCCACCCCACTCAATCTCAAAGAAAGAAAGGAAGCACTAAAGGACTGCTTGAACTCGGTTTCGTCAACCAATCACCACCTCCTGAAGTGAGTGGGTGGATGGAGGATCCTCAGCTCAAAACCAATGGCTTGTTCTAACTCTGGATACATTACACGCGGGTACTCAATGCTACGCATGATGGTTTGTCATGTGAGATTGTCAGCATATTGAACCCTTAATGCATGGTGCTACGTATTTGATATACTGCGGGCGTATCACATAACCCAATATTCCCCGCAGAGGAAAATATTCCTCTCGGTTCCCTTTCTGAAGAAAAGAAATATGGAGACCAATAAAGAGATCAGGGCTAGGGTAAGTAATCAGGTGTGCACCACACAACAGAAATCCCATGTCCCTCCAACCGGCATCAAAACAAAAGCAAAAACAGGCAAACACGACCGGCGACCGTCAAGAGAGGACTAGAACTGAAAGGAGTAAATATGTCTGCAAAGCCTGGTTGAACAATGTGTGATCTGACTCTGCGTCAGTGCCTTTCCCGTACGTACTCGCAAAAGTCAAACCACAGGTAGTAGTACAACTTTTCCTGTTGATAAGAAGATAGGCGGTACCTTTCTTAATTATGCATCATCAGCACCATCATCACTTTCCTCTTTATTAAGCGGGCCACGTACTTGATGGTAATACATCTATGGATCGACAGCCATTATTGCTTTTTTGTTCTTTGGATCTAGCTGACTAGAGGGTACTCTACATATTCCGCCGCGTTTAATACTGTCGACAGTCAATCAAAATATAAGCGCAAGCAGGGCCAAGTAGCTGATGCTGGGGAATAGGGCAGACGCCATGATCGGGATGTGGCACTAGTTCGAGCATTTAGTTGTAGTGTGTATCTATCTCTTGATGCTATGCGAAATATCATATTTGAGAAGAGTTTCGGAGCTAGCCCCTGTCCTCGTATTTACTCACGGTTCCATAGCTCAAGGGCAAGCCATTGGTAGCGACCTTCGGATACCTCGGGCCAGGAAAGTCTCCCGTAGATGATTGGAAGAAAAATGGGATACTGGATGAACACCGAATCAGTGCGTAGGCCGGGTTCCTCTATATTGCTCCACTGTCTGAGCACATAGACCCCAATCGAGGGAGCTAGGCCTACACAGTTAGACATCGCCTACAAAGATTCCCCGCATGGCTGTGTAGGTATTTAAGTCATTCAATAACATGTGGTTCCATGGCTATGAGATTATAATAAGGTCACAATGTCTGAGATAACCTTAGCCTGAGGTAAGGGGGTTGGTGTATGATATCGAGGGAAATCCCTTTATGCAGAAAAAGGCGTTTGTGCAGAGCTAGCTTCAATTGTTAGGATGATCTTGATGATCGTCAAAAATAGAAGACGTGGGACACCTGTCAACGAATGAATCTCGGGGGGAACACACAGTTTGCAATATCTGGTTTGAACGTCTGTGCAGTTGGAAGGGTGGAGTGGGGTTACATACATACTCTAGGTATGTGAATTTGATTTACCACAACACCACCCCACCACACCTATATCACGATCACGATTCCTTGACCTATGTACATGCATCAACATGCATGCGTGCTAGAAGAGCCGAGGAAACGGTTTCTTTGGTGAAGCGAGAATTGGTAAACCCTGGGAATACCCTGAAATGAAGGCGGGCGAAGATGAAGATGAGTAGACTTTTTTGATTGGGATACAATACAGGAAGATTATGCAGTATGCGGTTGGACGGCGAAGGCGCAACCAAGAGTCGAAAGCTCGTTCAGGAAAGAGCCGACGGGGCCCCTGTCTGGCAGAAGCGCGGAAGCGCCCCAGTCTCTCGGTCAGTGTTCTACTGCTGACTGGCCCGGTATGGTGAGTTCTTTGTCTCGACGAAGTTGAATTTCTTCTAATAATGAGAATAATCTCATGTGCACAAAGAGAGAACAGTGTGCTTGCACACCACCAAGAATCTCTACCGCCAAGTGCGTAAATAGCTAAATATTATAAGCCGCGGTTTAATCGCTTTGATTTTTCGAGATCCATACCCAATTGAAGAATCGCAGTGGACGTCAGACAAGTCGGTCCTCGATTGTCAATTCGAGCGCTCGCAGCTACCTAAAACGTATCTAGACAAATGGCAGCCTATTTACCGATTTCACTTTATTAGTGCTCTTTCTTTGCAGTGAGGAGATTCATGTCGCCAGGACTAATTGATGGTCATGATCATGGAGGTGGAAACTATGTTCAGCTGGCTGAAACCACTTCTTTGCATTTACTCTACTGCCCCCTGCCGCGCCGTTGCGTGGGCCGGCTATCACAAATGGTCAAGTACCCCGATATTAGTGGCATCACCGCGGTCAGCCCTTCCCGCAAGGTTAAATATCTTTTTTTTCCGGGGGTGGTGGAGGAGGAGGAGAAGACTTCATTTCTCAGGCAGGTACAAGGTAGAAGTCATAATAGGAACAAACATTCTCTGACTGTCATTGCGCATTGCGCGAGGAGGCGATGCAACGGAGAAGAAGCGGAAAAGAACTTGCAATGCGGACGGGGGTAATCAACTGGCGTCAATCTTTCCAATGGCGATGTGCGGCACTGGGGGTTCGGAATACACGAGATCAACCGCATTTGCCCCAAATTAGCCGCGTCGAGGTGGATGTACGGTGTTCTTTGAACTCTTTCCCACCGAACAGAACAAAGCAGCACCCCCGATATTTTCAGCACTCGAAAACTCGAGTGCTTGGATAGTTCCTGAAATATTGGGACTTGAAAAAAATCACAATTATATGGATATATATATTTCTACAAAAGGTGATAAGTCAGTGAACTTCATACTCAATCAAAATCTCCAAATACCTAGTCAGTCCACATTTCCTCGAGCTCCATACAGAAGTGTATCTACATAGAATTTCTCTATCAATTATCCGGTCGACAGGACTTAAGGTTGACACAGAGATTGTTGACTGAAGCTTCCCCGGACCCTAACTCGAGTTCATCGCCCATCACACAAGTGGCAGTGGTGGCCAGACGCGCGCTACCGCCGCAGATTATTGAGAGCACCCCTACCTACCAGCAAAATCAATTTTTTGTTCCCCCCGGTCCACCATCCCATCCATCACTTTAAGACTAGGCCCTACCGCAGCTGGGCTGTCACGACAGACAACTTGAGCCAAGGGATAAATAGCTACCTATCCCCATCGCGTCGAACACAGCTGCTCACTTGATCTGAAGCCCATTACTACTAGCCGGTAGGTCACCATACCACATTCGTTCGTTCAACCTTTGGTTTTATTCATCTTGAATACCCACAACATCATCCACAATCCACCTTCACCTCCCACAGTCTTCCACCACCTCCGAAACAGACAACACACACACAAAAAAAGACTATAAGACAAAGACTTCATTCCACCCTTCATGCTCTCCATAAATGGTATGCTGGGTCCTTCATCCCCAACATCTCAATCAAGACGGGAGGACCGCAACTTCAGTACTACTTCTTCAGCAACTGTCAGAATGTCCCAGCAGCAGGACCGCACAGGACTGCAATCCCTGTTAAACACACCATCTTCCCCAGAGCCAATTTCGCCAGAGGGCTCTTATTCACAAGGAAGATCTTTCAGCGAAGAGGTATGTATGCCCTACTCTTCAGCTTCGAAGGTAGCTGCCATCCTGACTTCAGCTCCCCTGCAGATCACATCAATACCTCCACATAAACGAAAACACTCACACGATGACCATAACCACTCACCCTCTCCCCATAATTCTAGCCCCAAAAAGAAGCGGGCGCCCCGTCCCCAGTACACCAAGGAGCAAGAAGACTTTATCTGGTTCTGCCGAGATGACTTGGCAATGTCCTGGCGTAAGGTAGTTCAGCTCTACAACAACCACTGGCACCCATTTGAATCTGAACCACACATCCGTTCCGAGAGTGGCCTCCAATCACGCTACTACAGAATTCTCGACTTTCCCGTCAAGATTCGCAAGAAGAAGGAGCCTTCAAGACCCGATTTGGGACTTATTCCATCAACGAATCGACGCTATGAGTGGATGGGTGTCATCAAAGCCAGCATCGAGGAGAAGAAAAATTCCGAGAGAAATAAACGCTACGCTACTAATGTTTCTCCTCAACTAAGGCAAGAGGATGACGACGAGAGGGAGGATGGATCAGAGAGCGATATTGGGGGATTCGACTCTAGGGAAAGAGGAAGGGCACGGGGAAGATGGGCCAACAGCAGGCACAATACAACAACTTCACCAGAGCTTCGAGCAAACAGCGGTGCAAGAATGAGTTTGCACGTAGAGGGCGGAGAACACGAGTGGGAGAGCTCAAGGCGGTCACCTGTTGGTACTGGCGGCCTGTGCTACGACCGGGGCGACTCAAAGGTACCTTGACTTTGACCAAATCCCTACATTAGGCGGAAATGTAGATGAAACAAATTGGATCAAGCTGTGCTAACGACGGTCCATGATACTTCAGTCTGTGATTAGTAGCAGTAGCTGCGATTCCTCTAGCCCTACTCTAGATCCAATCAAAACACGATTTCAGGATTTTGGATTTACTGCTACGAGCATTAGCGAAGGACCAATTCACTTACCACCCCTAAGAAGCTTCCCACAGAGCGGGATTCATTATCCGGATGAATTCAGGAAGCAGACGTATGAGATGGCAGCGTCAAATCACATCTCGAAAATATCAGTCTTCAACCTCTGCATCTAGCTGATTCTTACTCTTTCCTTATCTGTTTCTGATGCTTTTTTCTGTCTTTGATACAATTAATCTTTCTGCCAGATATTACTGGAATAACGACTGGGAGACCTAGCTATAGAAATATTGTATATTTTCTTTTTTACCATTTTTTTCTTTCAACAAATCCCTCCAGTACAATCTTTTCTTCATACCAACCCTTTTCTTATTATTTTCTCTATGTAAATTCACGACCCCCCATGTTTTCTCGCTTCCTTTTTCCCCCTTTTGTGTATCGAGCGTTCCGGAGTTTTGTACTTTTATTTCTTTTGTGTGTGCTGGTGGCGTCCTACTAGAAGTTGTGTCAACATGAGTGATTTCTCCTTGGTTAGATGTGGTATGAGTTTATGGCATTATTATTGTTTTCTGTGGACTTTGGACTAAGACAGTTCAGAGTAGGGTATCGGCCTATGTGGGCCGGTTTACTTAAGCTTGCATTTAGGTAGTTTTAGTTAGGAATCGATATCTAATACATGCTGATTCAAATCCAAATCAACCTTTAAATCACGGAATCAAAAAGCAAATAAAAATGTGTTTTTTTACTCCTTACACTTCGTTCCTGAAACAGACCACTTTCGGGTCCAGAATGGATGGATGCCTGACCAGATCAATCACATTCAAGCAAGGGCAATAGCTTTTACGCGCGTCCCCGATCCCCATACTTCTAAATAATCATCCCTCCCATCGTGCAAATCAAATCGTACAAGCGATTGCACACGATCGTGCTTCCCACCTTTCTTTCTCCACCGCTATTTAGCGTCGCGTTTTTGCGTGTATCTTCGTCTACCGCCCGTATGGACATCGCTTAATCCTCCTATTCTTCCTCCCTACCCTAAGATCTCCTCCTACGCGCGTGAAAGTAATTTTAGTACACATGATCAAGTGTCGAATATTATGCGGAGAAAATGCAGGAGAGAGGCGAGGATTCGATGTATGTGTGTGATATATTATTAGGTATAGCGGCTGGCCGTGAAGAATTTATTCCGTTTGGTGCGGCTTACGGGCAGAACAGGAACTGACAGTGTCCGTACACGCCTTAACGCCTGACCTATTAATTCGCGCTTCTAGACTGGTGGTACGGATATGACCGACCCTAGAATTTTTTTAGCAAAAAAAAGGGTCATAAAACCTCAAAGTTCAAACCCAACCTGCCTGGCCTGTGAAATTCTTTTTAGATGATTGTGGTGGGTCCCAAAGAAGCAAGGTCCCATAGCAACCGAGCATGATCATGAGCAAGCACTCGGTTTTCCGCCCGCAAACGCATGTATGCTTTGCAGTTGCATTTACCGCAAGTGCCAACATTTAATCCAAATTTTTCCCTAGGAAGAAATTATTTGACTTACAAAAGGATTATGGGATTCGCGTTGTGATTACCTGTTGACTAAACGTAAGATTATGATGCCTGCTTTCCTCGGTTGCATATTATACTGTGGTGCATAGAATTCAAAGAGATCCTTCCTTCAGTGTGGCCGCGATCGGTCAGCGCATTTTTTCAATTATGCGACTTTGGTTTAGCCGTGCGAAAAAGCACAAGATGTTCGCCAAGGTAATTGGAATGGCGGTTCTATTCTGCCAGTCAGCCAATAATACATGCAGAACAATTTAAAACGCAATTCGTACTGCACCACTAATCATATGTGTGTGCGAGTAAAGAGTAAGCACTCTAGCCTGCTCTACTGGTTACCAAAGACTCGGGTTAATACAGTAAAGTGGACTCTGATTACATACTCTTCTTTAGAGTTGGGTTGGGCACGGAGCTTCACTTCCGAATCGTAAAAAATCCTCCGTCTTACTGCTTGCCAGTCAAGCCGATCAGCCCCCAAATCTCAAACTCAGATTCTAATCCAAATCTCCAGCTCAAAGGGCACCTTTACCTGTCTTCTTTGCCAACGCACACCGCACACCAAGTGCTCTTCTATCATTACCCACTACAACCTTTTTTGACAAGATGCCGCATATCAAACAGATCACTTGACTTGTGTCAAGTATAAAAGGACGGGACAAATTACTTTATCAGTCTATGAAGGAGAATATAGGCATAGACAGCCTCAAGCGTATTGAAATCTAACCTGATCGATGGCTTTAAGGTCCTACCGAGGCTATATGATTGGTACATTGAAAGGTGTAATTCTAACCTTTGCCTCCTCCGGTGGTGCCGCCCTTGGGCTTTGGGCAGGTAGGGATTGGTATACTCATGCCAGCGGGGTGTCCAGAGCGCTCTCGCCGGTGGATTGATTGAAGTTTGCTACTTCCTGATCCCGCGTTACCGGGCGCAAGTAATAGAAATAAGTATTTTTGAAAGCAGAATTCTGCTTCTATAACACAATATTAAGGATTCTAGCTCATTCAGGGGGTTAAGGAAGTACCTATTAGCATCGCACATTATTATTATTAGGTTTTGTCGCCACCCTGTATGACTATGGCTCCACTTAGATGTGGATGTATGTACGGCGGCGGCGGTGGTGGTGGTGGTGGTGGTTATTGAACGCGGCAAAGAGATCCGGCGAGACGGGTAAACTGGGAATATATATGTTCAAACCTATAAGTATAGTTAGCTACTGTTAACTTTAAACGCGTGTACACTATGGCACAGGCTGCGCTTCCAACCTGGATAGTTGAATTGATTGTATTTAATCATTAGTGGTCTGACTGTCCCAGCGGGACGTTTCGCTAAACATGAGTTCCGCTCGCTTGTGCCGGTAAGACAGGTAAAGTACCGGGGGTTATGGGTTAGTCTTTTTTGGCGTATGATTGGTTGAAGCTGCAGAAAATGATACTTGGCACCAGAAAAAGTACTTGAATAGGCTGCCCCCATCTTTTGCACTGCTGTTTGCACCCAGCTTCATCAGAAAATACTCCCCACAAGGGCTTATGAGCTCAAAATACTATCTAGGGGAAGCTGGGAGCCAGCGCTATTCTGCAGTTTTTTTTTTTTTTTGTATTTTTAGCAAAATATTTTGATTTTTGAGTGAAGATATATGAAAGTTCTTCAGACTTTTTTCCCCTATACAAATTTAGTGCGCTAAGACTAGACCTGGCCGGTGTGATCGATGATAATTGGTTGCGAATTTGTGGCTCCTATATAAAACCCCTGCATTTTCAACCAATGAAGTAGAGTTCTTCAGACTAAGGGTGAACACCCGGTATATGGGTGAAGGATGTAGGTACTTAGACATAGTAAATCGCCAGAGAGGGAAGTCAGGGTCGGACACAAGGCCAGTGGGTGCGCAGAATCAAATAAATACCCCGCCAAGGCCTTTATACGGAGAGTTGACACTCTTTTCTGTGTCGTCAACGAAACTGTTTGAATGCAATCTATTGACTAGTCAGAAGTGCGGAAATCAATGGAGGTAAAACGCCTGGATTACAACCACTTCCCCTTGATCATGACCAGCAAATGCCCGTTCGTTATCGAACCTCTTTCATCAACAACCCAGAAATGATTTAGTTATTAATGATTCAATTCATCGCTAGAGAAATTAGTCATTCTGTTAATCTATTGGAATACCATCCGACCTATCACATTGCATACCGAGTAACAGTCTGGACTACAACCGTTAAGTGATTCCAAATATTCAGACAGGGTGGTTTGGGCCAATAAAAAGAGCCTGGCTTGTCCTTTCCATAAAGATACCCCTGTCTAATCGCCAACAACAGGGTATGTAATTATTCTAGCCAGTTGTCGGCAGAACCTACATCAAGAAGAAAGCTGATGGATGATCTATTTGAAGAACGACCTTAAGCTGAACGGAATGATATAGAAGGATGAGAAACAAAGTAAGAAGATGAAGAAAGTTAGGCTTCTTGTCGTACAAAGATCAAGATTAGTTGGCTTCGGTAGACCATTTTCATAAGCCAACCCCGCGAAATAGAGAGGGACCTGGGGAAAGATAATTTGAGACACTATCAATATGTAACTAGCAAATAAGAAGGCTTTATATGGCGGCTCTGTAGTTTCTGTGATATTACCCTGGCGGGAGGGCAAGTGCAGTACGGCATGTTGTTTGGGTTTCAGCTACGCGCATGTAGCCTTCGTTCCTTTGTCCTCAAACGTTTGGAAGTTAGGTTGATTTGGTAAGAGTAACAAATCTTCTTCTCTGACGTTCTTGAAACGGGCCTGGTCTGCCATACAACGATTTCTTGGCGAAACAACATAAGTGATTTTCTGTTGGTCCATACGAAGAATGAGATACTAGAGTACAGTCGCAACTCGATATGCTGGATCTCAATACACCGGATCCCTTGCTATCCCGTATGAAATCCTCTGGGATTTTAATTTTCTTACTGCAAAATTAATTTGCTATCCCAGATTTTTTGCTATCCCGTACGAAATCCGAATCTTGGCAATCCGGCATATCGAGTTGCAACTGTCTCTATCGATCGTGCGCTGAATGAAGAGAGTAAAAATGCTTGTGCCTGCCTGATTTCCTTGGCGCCAAGTTTCGTATACCTCATGCATCTTCTTTATCGAGTTCCTACCAATCAGAGGAAGGCTGGGCAAGTGACATGGATGCGGACCAACAAGTTATCATCCACCGATTGGGTACTCCATGGCCAACCAACAACAATCACAACCAAAACCTAACCCAAAATGAGATACCAATATTCACAGAACCAAATTATGATACTGCATCCTCAGTTTTTGGTCCATCCACATAACGACACCTCATTGTGATGAAGTATAAATCAGCATCGCTCCAGTGATGTGGTACTTTGAGTGTGAGCCAAAAGCCACTGATTGCCGGTCTAGAGACATTTTGCTATCAGGGTCAATGGAAATAACGGACATGACCTTGATATGGGTACAACTAGCATACATATTCCGGAATGAGAAGGCAATACCATTCATTCATGCGATCCCCCCCCCCCCCCCCAATTTTTTGGATTGGGACTGGGCCACGGCTTCTACAACTATCAAGGTCAATACTACCATGCTTTCCTGAAAACTGGATTGCAATCCTCCAAGACAAGTT